GTGCAGCCCCTATTGGAGTCTCTGCTCACTTTCAGGTATGCTGTATGCTGAGTTAGGGCCCTCGCGTCCTCCCTGTCACCAATGACCACACGAGGGAAATGGAACTGGGGTCTAGATGTAGGAAGATCCCAGTTTCCCCAGCAGCTCACACAGGTTTTAATCTATACCCTGAATGTGCAGACCACCATGAGATCTACACGCACATCAACTCATAGAGGCCCATAGCAACTATGTAAATGCATGGGCTTGTGATCTGAAAGCCATTAAAAACCCATTATTTTCTCATTTTTTTCTTCTCCTCTCCTCTCTCTCTAAAACAGGACCTCACTCTGTAGTTTTGAGTACATTGTAGAACTATGTACTCACTACGGAGACCTGGCCTCAAACACAGATCTGCCTGCCTCTGCCTCCAAGTGTGGGACTAAAGGGGCTGCCACCAAGTGTGCGGCTTCTCCTTTGCTTAAAAACTCCTTCTCCATGTAAGAAGAAGCAGTTACTAAATACCCACACTATGGAGGCATTCACAAGATTCTAGAATTCATCGCAGAAGCAAGTGACTAAACACACTTGGGTAACAAGAATCTCTCTCTCCCAGACCCTAAAGGACGTTGTTCTTAACCATTACAAGTGGGAGCTTAGCTGGGGGAGGAATGCACCATTCACTTTGAACAGTTGAAACAACTGCCGAGATTTCTCATACACATGCACACAACACGTCCAACATCCCTATAACCTCAGCCTGATAAATAAATCCTGAAGGAAGATGTTGGTGGTTTGAGATAGGCAATCCAGGCCAGGTCAGTGACTCAATCCCGCCTGGGGACAACAGACTCACCTCTGCGATCTCCACCTTCCTCTCCCACATCTTGACGGTCTTCTCCAGGTCCCCATTCAAGATCTTCTCCTTGACGTACGTCATCACCTGGGGAGCCCGGAACTCTGCCAACTGCTTCCGCAACTTAATGTTCAAGGTATGGGCTTTGGCTCTGTCCTGTTGGGAAGGACCCCATTAGTCCATGAAGTTCTGGGAGCTTCAATTTCAATACAGTTCCAAAACTGATAGTGACGGTCACAGAGCATGGGGCCCTCTCAAGAATCTGGGTTTTTCTTAGCAGATCAGGATGTTTTCATCCAGTTCAGAAATACCAGAGACTGTGCTTTTCATCCTTTCTTTTCCTTATCTATTTCGTTTCTCTCCTTTATTAAGGACTATGCTTTCTCTTGTTTAGATTTCTTAAGGTGTTTCATGCGTGAGATTATATAGCTCTAAACACTTTGGTTTCACCAGTTTCAACTCATTTCCTATCTTCCCGTAGTGTAAAATATACATAATAAAACTTTCTATTTTAGCCATTTTAAGCACACAGTTCAGTGGCATTAAGTACATATATAATCCTAGCACTTGGGAGGTAGACCCGGGAGGATTTGGAATTTGAATTCATCCTTGGGAACATACATTTTGAGGCCAGTACGAAGTACATAATGACCCTCACAACTGGGGGAGGCGAGCTACTCCTTGGTACGCCCAACTGAGAAGCTATCATGTCATAGATCGCCTCCTTGCTGAGGAGCTTTTGGGCTCCTTCTGTGTCTAGCACTGGGACCTGGTGGGAAACACAGAGCCGGGCAACCCCAGACCCATCTTGTCAGTCTGAACTCTAACAAGCTCAATGGATTGGTTTCCCGTTGCCATTTTTAGAAGCACTGTTTTGATTTACTGTGACACAAACTAATAAAAAAAATTACTATTAACATGTTTTATGAAGGTGATAATCTAAGATGGTTGGTGGTGGCGCACGCCTTTAATCCCAGCATTTGGGAAGCAGAGGCAGGTGGATCTCTGAGACTTTGAAGCCAGTCTGGCCTATAAAGTGAGTTCCAAGACAGTCAGCCCTGTTAAACAGATAAATCCTGTCTTGCAAAACAAAACAAATGACCAAAACAAAAACAATAAAGAAAAAGGAAGAAATAAAGTGGTAATCCAACCTGATTCCCACAGGCAGGCTGTTGTGGTCGCACCAAAGGCTGTGCCCAGAAGCACAGCACACTTGCTTTCTCGTAAGGGTGATGAGAATACTCAGGATTCTCTCATCATATCTGAGTTTCACCTGGAGCCCCAAAACTCAGCAGGCTGAGGCAGAAGGACTGAGCATTTAAGAATAGCCTAGGCTACATAGTGAAAGTGTCTTGGAAGAGGAGGAGGAGGAGGATAACGAAGCATCAGAATGTATTATAGCTGCGAGGTCATGCTGTGAAGACCAAGGACCACAGTGACCCCAGAACACCCCACGTGTACATCAGGGATGCCACTACACGAAAGGTGGTCTGCTGTTCCCATTTCTATGTCCATGTATCTACTAGTCGGTGGCCTAAGGGACTGACTTTATTTCGGGGAGAGTATGATGGGCTCACGGCTGAGAACTTTGTAGGAAACAATGGAGATCTTTGGGTTAGGCACGCTAGAGGAGCTCTTCAGTTGGCTTCTGTTGCTGTAATAAACATCATGACCAAAAGCAACGAGGGGAAGAAAGGGTTTATTTCAGCTTCGAGCTTTCTTCTACTTTTTTTTTTTTGTGTGTGGTTTTTCAAGTCAGAGTTCCTTTGTGTAGCCTTGGTGCCTGTCCTAGAACTCACTCTGTAGACCAGGCTGGCCTCGAACTCAGAGATCTACCTGCCTCTGCCTCTCGAGTGCTGGGATTAAAGGCGTGCACCACCACCACCTGATTCATTTTAGTTTTTAATCTGTCATCCTAGAAAGTCAGGGCAGGAATTTAAGACGAAACAACTTACTGGGTTGTTTCTAATCTTCCTTCCTTTTTTCCTTGCTTTTTCCTTCCTTCTTTCTATCTTTCTTCCTTTCCTTCTCCCTCCCTCCATGTAGTTTTTAGATTTTATTGTTATATGTATATGGGTATGGGTATGTGCATATGCATACAGTATCCTCAGAGGCATTGACTCTCTTGCAGCTGAAGTTACAGGCAGTTGTGAGTGGCTAGATGTGGATACCAGAACCAAACTCAGGTCTTCTACAAGAGCAGTGTTTTCTCTTGACCACTGAGCTTCCCAGCCTGCTTTCTTATAGTACCCAGGACCACCAGCCCAGGGGTGTCACTGCACACGGTGAGTTGGAAACTTCTGCATCAATAATACATCAACCTAATAATAATAATAATGCACCACCGCCTAGTGACACCCATAGGCCAATATGGTAGAGACATTTTCTCAATGGAGGTCCCTTCCAAAATGACTCCAGCTTTGCATCAAGTAGATACAAAACTAGCCAGATTCAACAATACAAGTGGCAACAAACAAAACAGTTGACCAGGCAGATGTTTAACAGAACTAGACAAACAAACCAAGAAGAGCCTTCCTGTGTCTAGAGCAAGTCTCAAAAACTGGCAATACCTTGCTGGAAAGAGGCCTGCCATGAGATTGGATCAGTATGTAAGACAGTACCTCGCAGTATAGCTGAAAGCAACCGAGAGACTGGGCAGTAGCTAACAGGGGCTAGCAGCTGGGTGGGACACCAGCAGAGGAGGTTTTAGCAGGAAGACGAAAGACCAACAGCAACCAAGCAGTCTGCTTGTCAGACTGGCCACGGCAAGGCTGAGCCCGCTGGCAACAGAGCAATAGGGGAAGCAGAATCTACACTGACTCATCCAGCCAAATCACTAGACAGCGACAGCACCCTGACAGGAGCTGCTGCAGTGCCTAAAATGCACAGTTTTCTGAAAACTATGAGATGGGCAAAGAAACAGGAGAATTTGACCCACACAGAAGGGAAAAAAAGGAAAGAAAACCAGGCAACATGAACTGTCCCTGGAGGAGTCCAGATGGTGGACTAAATGCACAGTTTCAGAGCGGCACAGAGACTTAATGGAGAGCTGGGTGTGGCTATGCAGGCCTTCCAGTCTCCGCACTCACAGGCTAACGTAGGGGGATCAGGAGCTTGAAGCCTCCTTGGGCTACATAGCAAGATTCTGTCTGCCCCCCAATTTTTTTTTAAAGAAGGTTTATATACATATTTTTTTACCTATGGGTGCTTTGTCTGCATGTACACGAGAAGGAGGCACCTGATGCCATCACAGACAGTTGTGAGTCACCTTGTGAGTGCTGGGAATTGAACTCAGGACCTCTGGAAGAGCAGTCACTGACCTAGACCACTGAGCCATCTCTCCAGACCCTCAAAATCTCTTTGCAAACAGATTTAAGTCAGTAAAATATGTGGTGAGATTTTTGTTTGTGTTTTAACAAATAAAGCTTTCCTGAAGATCAGAGTGTGGAGCTAGCCACACTAGTTAGTCACAGAGGCCAGGCAGTGGTGATGCACACCTTTAATCCCAGCACTCATGAGACAGTGGCAGACGGATCTCTGTGAGTTCAAGGGCACCCTGGGCTACAGAAGATTGAACATATAGAAGGGACAGTGTGATGTGAGAACATACTGAAGGGCCAGTGTAATGGTGAGAACGTATAGAAGGGTCAGTGTGGTGACTTAGTGGGCAAAGGGTTTTCCATGCAAGTCTGAAGACTTGAATCTGATCCTTGGAAGCCACTTAGGAAACCCGGATATAAAATACAGAAAATAAGGGTTAGTGGAATGCTCAACCACAGATGGAACCTCTACACCCCTCCACACCCAAGGCTCAGGGACCACCGTGGAAGAGGGGAGGAAAGATTGAGGAGTCAGAGGTTAGGAAGGCCAGGACTGAACAAGGACTTCTGGACACGCTAGGGCACCGCACACATGAATTCCCGGGACCTGTGGTTGCCTGCACAAAGGCTACAGAGAGTGAAGTAGTCATTGCTCAAGCCTGGAGGCAGGGGCTCCTGAGCCTCCAACCCTAACAAGAAGCTGTTTATAGCTGATGGCTTCTGGGGAAGTGAGAAGCAGTGTAGCTCCTGGTAGGTTCACCACACTCCAGTAGATGAGCCTACACCTAGGAGCATGTTAGTCAGCACAAACTGGACTCAGTGTGCTATTAAAAACAAAAAGAGATGTGTTGTATGAAAGGAGAGAAGGTTAGCATTCCCACTGACAACGATGGAAGAGGCCCTTGGGCCTAACAACATGCATATGGTTAAGGCACGGCCACCTACTTCGTGGCATCTAAAGAGAGAGAGAGAGAGAGGTAGAGAGAGAGAGGTAGAGAGAGGGAGGCTGGGGCAACGGTGTCACATCCCTTTAATTCCAGAACTCAGGAGGCAGAGGCAGGTGGATCTCTGAGTTCGAGTTCAGCCTGTTCTACAGAATGAGTTTCAGGACAGGCGGTACTGCATGGCGAAACCCTGTGTCAAAAAAACAAAACACAAAACAAGCTAACAAAGGAATGAGGCATGATAGTAACACATCTTTAAACCCAGAACTCAGGACACAGAGGCAGGCACATCTGTGAATTTGAGGCCAGCTGGTCTACATAAGGAATTACAGGCCAACCAGGGCTACACAGTGAGACCCTGTTTCAAAAATAAAATAAAGGTAAACAAAGGGCCATGTGACGGTTCGACTAAGAATGGCCCCATAGGCTCATATAGTAGAATACCTGGTCTCCAGTTGGTGAAACTGTTTGGAAAAGATTAGGAGGTGTGGCCTTATTGGAGGAGAGACTCTCAGCTGTTCCTGCCACTGTGCCTTTGCTCCACCATCACAGACTCTTAACTCTCTGAAATCATAAGCCCTAAATTAAATGTTTTCTTTTGTAAGATGCCTTGGTCGTCGTGTTTTATCACAGCAAAAGAAAAGTTAAGACAGGCTATGGGTGTAACCCTTGTATAACACGTGTTAAAGGCCTGGGCTCCATCCCCAGCACTGAAAAACAGAAGATAATGAGAAAACTAAACTGGACTACATCATGAATGCCAGGACTCCAAAGAGAGGACTTTTATGTTTCAATGGCAATCTAATCCAGTCCCCTAGCACTGGAGTCACAGACAGTTGTGAGCTGCCATGTGGGTGCTGGGAACCGAACCTGGATCCTCTGGAAGAGCAGTCAATGCTCTTAACCCCTGAGCCATCTCTCCAGCCCCCACCTTATGTATTTTATAAGGCCATATGCTGTGGACTGTTTTCCTTGTGAGCAGACCCTGGGACCTCACCCAGCGATAAATATAACATCACTGAGCTATAAATCCAGTGACTGATATCATGGCTCAGAGCTGTTTTGATTTTTGTGGTCTGGATTAACCAAGGATCGAAGGACAGTGACCTTTGTGGACAAAAGAAGGCAAACATCAGAAACAGCACGCTGTGCCCTCCTACCTCCTCTGCATGTATGGTTTCTTTTTCAATTTTTCCAAGCAGCTCGTTTCTCTGCAAGATCTCCTTGTCCAGACTGTTGTATATCTCCATTGCCCGGTGAAGCTTGTTCTGAAACACACCAGAATGGCAGGCGCTAAGAGGAGCCCTTGGAGACGGGAACGAAGCAAGGCCATCATTCCATCTACACAGATTCCTGTCAGCTGGGGACCACCCTTCCCAAATGTGTCCAGATCTGATGTCTCAGAGCTGGCTGGATCTGCTGGAGACGCAGAGTGATCCAACAACAGGACTCAGCTCTTGCCCCACTGGTTCCAAACTTCCCTTACACTGATATGGTCTCCTTGCTAGGCTGTAAGGGGACATCCTGGCAGGGAGCAGAGCACTGTGTCTGACAGATACAGCTCACTCAGCAGCTGCCGTGACTACCTCATGAGGGTGCAGAGAGAGGAACCCCTGCAAGAAGTGGGTCCAGACCCACTTAAAACTAAAAGAGCCAGGATTGGAATTGATTTGGTGTGATTCCTCAGCCTCTGAGCTCCACTACACACCCCTGCCTAAAGAAGCTGGGGCCTGCTGGTGTCAGAGAATTCTACAGTCACTGCCTCACGGATGCCCACGGCATTATTGCCCTTCAGTTCCCCCCAGGCTCCTGATGTTTAGATTGACCTCCTCTGGAGCCTTCTTCCTGAGCCTTCTCCTATCCTACCGGGAAGTCTCCAAAAGCTCTCCCTGAGCCCTACCCTGCTGGGAAGTCTCCAAAAATGCTGGAATGTGCTCTGCATGGATGAGGGGTAGGCACACCCCAAGAACCGACCCATCCAGCCCCAGGCACTGGTGAGTTAGAGAAACATTCTAGGCCTTGCCTCTGGGAAGCTCATTCTCAACCAATGCCAAGGGAGGTAGGGAGGCTGAAAATCACGGCAAGAATTCCAAGACTGCATCTGTGCCAACGGGCACACAGTAGACTGTGCCAATCGACATACAGTAGGATGTGTTGGGGTGGGGGTGTCTTGCAACAGCAATGAGGACAGATAACTGACAGATAAAATCACACTTAGCTCTGTGAAGAAGGAAGAGAGGGCAAGGAAAATGTCAGGGGAAGGAGGGTCCCAAAGGGGCTGGGAGAGGAGATCATATTGTTGGATGGATGGGCAAGGGAATGGGCTGTGCTCTGCTGGGCCAGGGGATGCAAGTCACATGAGTGACACTCAATGGCAATGTCAGCCACTTGAGGTCACTACAGAAACGACAGACCCAGCTTTCCAGGGTAGCAAAACACTTCAGATTCTGAAACCAACAACTGCTCCTTCTCTCTGTTTACCCAGGGGCGTAGTTTGGGCACAATGCAGTGCCTTCTCTGCCCATGGGCCCACCAGACTGAAATCTAGGAGCTGGCCAGGTCCTGGGCTTCTGTCTGGGTCTCGAGGACCTCTCTTAAACCCAGTGGTGTTGTAATAGGAGCGGCGGGGCTGCGTCCCCAGCACCCCGGCCGCCTGGCTAGCTTATGCCCGAAATAACAACACACAAACTGTATTCATTTAAACACTGCTTGGCCCATTTCTATCTAGCCTCTTCTAGGCTAATTCTCGCACCTGGACTAGCCCATTTCTAATAATGTGTGTAAGCTCCCCAAAGTGTGCTTACTGGGAAGATTCTAGCCTATATCAATCCTGGGTCGGAGCTTCATCGCGTGTGTCTCTGAGAGGAGCTATGGAGTCTGTCTGAGGAGTCTTACCTCACTTCCTCTTCCTCCCAGCATTCTGTTCTGTTTACTCCTCCCACCTATGTTTTAACCTATCAGGGCAAGCAATTTCTTTATTTAATTAACCAGTGACCTTCCTTCATCACAGTGGTTGTTGGTTATTTCCTTGAAGTCACAGCAATGAGTTTTTTTTTTTTCCTGGCTATCAGTAGTTCATTCAATCCTAGAGGCCACTAAGATTCCTTCCATGTAGCCTCCTCTATCTTCAAAGCAGTGATGGAGAAATTCCAGCCCCCAAATTTCACTTATGCTCCACATCTGGGACTTCTTTTTGCAAAGAAAATCTGCTTTCGGTGGCTCTTGAGATAAACCAGGCCTCCTGGACACCTCACCTTAGTGTCCCCCGGGCCACATAGGGACATCACAGAAATGACTTCATGCCCTGAGCCATCCATTCCCACTCTGGGTTTGCATTACAAGGGGTGTGCTCCTGTGCACGGGGCTGGGAACTTCTTAGAATTCTGTCCTCCTCAGGGCACCGGGGCGCTTAAGTCAGTCAAGGGTGATTCACAGCAGCGGGCCCACCAGCCAGGCACGCATGGCACTGTTACTTTTGTGAACAATGGGGAGTTAATCCGAATGTTTTCAACAAGGTCTCATGCTTGGTTGCTTGAGACATGTGCCAAATGGCTCCTCCTTTCACCCTCCCATGACCACCAAAACCACATCCAAACTGCTGCCAGTCAGCACTGTTCACCTGCTCTGGGCAGGCCTTGTTTTCTATTGCTGGGCACACTGCCCAGACCACACAAAACTCATCCAGAGGTGAGATGTGGACCTTGTCTCTGGCAGATGGACCTAGACCAGGTGACACATCGTCACCATCCAGTTCCCAGTGGAGGCAGACTTCCCAAGTGACCATTGTTCTGCCTCCATTTCCCCTACAAGAGCTGAGAACTGGGATATGGGAGAAGCCAACAGAAGCGAGGTAGCTTCTCCCACCTTTGATCACACCTTCTCATGCAACAGGCCCGCTGTGCCGCGGCTCCCATTGGCCAGCAGTCTACACTGTGACCTTAGACCCAGCCCGTGGAGCCCAGGTTCTGCAACCTGACAGCTTTGCCATGGAAACTGCAGCTCCACTGCCCAAATCCCACAAGCTGAGGCAGGCCCTGTGCCACTGAACCGTCTCCAGGGGATAAGGTCGAGGCCCTGGGTGAGCAGCCATCAGAATTCACCCGGGCTGGTCTCAGCTTGAAGTAATTGTTCAGATGGCACAAGCTAAATGTGGACAGTCCCACGTGAGCATCAGGAAGCTGACTTGGCCACTCTGCATGCTCTGTGCAGGATGAAGGAGGTCGAGCAGGACCCACGCTGACCTGGCGGGCCCCCTGGTTCTTATCTATGACTTGATGCTTAACAAAACTCAGCACCTTTGCTTTAGGCTTTTGTGATTTGTAAAGAAAAATGTTCAGCAAACGTAAATCTGTCTAATACATTCAAATTCACTTTGCTTTTCCTTTTGCTGGAGGATTCTTGGGAGGTTCTTTTGTTTGGAGGCAAGGTCTCCCAGTGTTGCCCAAGCTGCCCTCCCTACCCCACCCACATGTTACCACGCCTGGCAATAGTCAGGAATTTGAACAGATTCAAATTGCTAATCACATTGTTGTGGGCCAAATGAAGCTCACATGCTAGCTACCTAGGCTACAGCCACCACTGTCCTGGGCAAGGCCGAGAGCCAGGAAACCCTTTCTGTGAAGGACCAGATAGTATCTGTTCAGCTTTGCAGTGCCAGAGGCAACATTTTAGACACTGTATAGTTCCTTCTGCCAACAAGAGAAAAGCCTGCAGAGCCCTACACGTGCTTTACTGGTGACAGTGTATACATAATGACCGGGTGTGACACTTTTGCATAGGGCCGGTGAGGTGACTCTGCAGTGAGGCCTGGTTGCCACTGTGCCTGACAAGCTGGGTTTGATCCCTGCAATCCACATGGTAGGAAAGAGCTGACTCTTGTATGCTGTCCTCTGATCTCCTCATGGATGCCAAGGCATACTTGCCACAAACACACACGTGCACACTGAAAATAATAGGATGTGATACATATGTATTATTTTGTATATATGATATATAATGATCACATCGTTTTACACACACATA